TATTACCATCATTACTACAGACGGTTTCCGTGGATTAAAAGTACAACATAAGTTAGGTTTCCTCCATCTGTCACTTACAAGGCAAGCAATGCAGGGACACAACAGACAGAAATTTAAGTACCCTGTCTCACATAAATTTCTTGTCAGCTGTATCTGTACTGTATACATCACAATCAATCCACTGACAATAAATTTAATAGCACTATCACTCTAAAGGTTTTAAAACAAATACTAATAATAAGAAATTAATAGTTACTTGCCTTAGGCGACCGGCTGCCGGATCATTGCTTACACCCAGTAATCAATGCACAGAAAAAAAACAGTATTCGATAAAATCCAATATAGCTTATTGAATCCAAAATACATCTACGACCCAAACTACTCCTAAAACAATACAACAGCATACCAAAATATAAAGAAAAAAATAACCTCATTGTAACTCTCCGGGATGGTGTGCTGTAGACGAGGAAATTTCGATATCCCTTGGACGGTAGATGTTGATGTTAGCGTTCTTCTGCCATAGTTTCCTATTCTTGCAAGCCTTAATGACCTGTTCATGCGATTTATAGGCCGGAAAAGCGCCGTAATTGGAGAAGTGGACATGTTTTGCGGATATCGGTCGGGATCAGAGACCAAGTGCAATCGCTTGTTTACACGAGAGGTTAGTTACACAGGGATTTTACGGAGAACTTCATAGAGAAGGGTTATCTATATATACATCGCCATTTTCCTGGTTGTTTGTTAATGGGATAGACAAAATTTATAGATGTTTGTTTTTTTAGTGTTGAGATGATGGCTCTTTAGAATTAAAAAAAAGATATTTCACTGGTATTTTTTTTCTAAATATATCATCATGAGTTACGTATCTACTATGTATATATATATATATATATATTCCGTATATTAATACATATTATATCATTTATACATCTCAATCAAAAAATATATTTTCATCTATTTTCCCATAATGTTATTTTCTAAATCTACTGTGAAAGTAATCTCCAATAAGAATTTCCGAAATACATTGGCAGAATTTATTCAACCTATTATCTACATACAAAAAAATAATCAGTACTTTTCATAAAATCTTACGTCCTATTCTAGATATTTAGGAAATACCTAAATTATTTTGAAGTTTTAAAAATACCCTGAATATTCTGCCAAAATTCTCGTGACTCTCCAGTCAGGTGATCGATCGAGCTTGTGTCAGGAGGAGATAGCGGTCGCCCTTCCAATATCGTCCTGTTTTACGCTTTAGAGGTGGGTTCTGGGCTTCGTGATTTTGTGTGAGGTAGGATATGAGTCAGGGAAGGATTCCGTATCCGTTAGATAACGATTGTCGTCGAGGTTAGTCGGTAAGTAGAAGATGTGAGAGGGAAAGGATTTCTGGAGATTATGATTTTTGACAGTCGATATATTTCGTTCTTCGGGGTTATTTCTTCCGTAGTTTCTCGGTGTAGGTTTCTGTATTAAGTGATTATTAGTATTTCATGTCCAATTATACGTTGTTGTGTCCTGATTGTATCTGAATTGCTGTCGCTGCCAATATGTTTAGATTTGGTTGATACCAGTTATGTATATTTTTAAAACTGGATGTTTTCCTCTAGAATTATTTGCTGGTGGTTTTATGATGTGTAGTATTTGCATTGTTTTTAATTTATTTTCGTACATAGCGATGTAAAATATATCCACCATAGCTTCCACAGATCGTCCACAGAGACGATCATGATATCTGTTGATGTTTTCATTTTGGGCGTGATAGAGCAAACATCTGGTAATTTCCTTTTGCAATAGGTAACTTTCCAAATGAAAGTGGATCTGCTAGATGAGCAAAAGAGTTGATCAATCCCTTGCTGCCTCTCTCGCATTTTTCTCTCTCCTGCATCTTACTCTCCCTCAAACCCTTCCTGGTAATTCTTTTGGTAATTGTTGAAGACTGCGACGCATCTTCGCAGAGACTAAGTCGAAAAAAAATGATGTTTTTCTGCATGAAATCCTATGATTTCATCGATTTTCGGCGTTGTTTCTTTTGCGAATGAATCGTTCAGGAGATTGAGTACCATTTTTCCATTGACGATCTTGATTTGATAGTCCCGTTAGCAGGGGAGGGCATGAAGTATATCAGGGAAATTATGGGGTAAAACAAGCTTAAATAAGAAGAATAACAATCAAAAATGCGTAAAACTAGCACAAAAAGCGCTTAAAATCGGCCAATGAAACTCTGTAGATGTAACCGCCATCTTTGAAAGTTTATGGACTGACGTGAAATAAATCAAAAACTCTACGGGAACCCAACCCACATTTCTGTAAAACTCTATGGGAATTCACATGTTCCAACCCCCAAAAACGTATTGACCAATAAACCAACCTAATATATCAATATAAATTGCCGTGACTAGACGTGCCCTTCAGGCACTGCCCGAGGGGAGGGTTGATGGGGGGCAAGCCCCCCAACACCCCCCAGGACACATTCTCTCCACCACGGTATGTACGGCAAGACAGAGCTACATTCACACCGTAAAATAATAAACCAAATACCTTTATATACGGAAACGTGAAACTTTCGTTTCATTGTACTGTTGGTATTGCTTCGATTTTAATCACATTTTTCATCCTTTGGAACTCTTGATGGGCCCAGATATAAAACTAGGATGGTTACTGAAGTCTAATTATTCTTCGATGCCACTGTAAAGGTCTTAAAAAGAACCCAGAATCAACATAACACTGGAAACACAACATTTCTCACCGGCTTTCAATCTCGAAATGAGCGGTATGGTCAGCTGTCAACCTGTGGCTGGCGCAAGAAAGTGTGAAACACTCGATGCGCAGGATTCGATATGAGGGTATAGATAAATATAAAAATATGCAAATGAAGTATAATAACATTACTAAAAGACTTTAAAGGTATAAATGCGTACCAGCAGACACAGATAATTAGCCAAATATCGTTTTGACAAGCGCGTAATGATACACGGACTAGTTCGCGAACGCAAAAATGCGTTCGTGGGTCAGTGTCGTGGTTTTCCTCGCAAGGTAAACAAGCTCATCGACTTTGAATTTGAAAGGTGGCCGTGCGTTATATTTTTGTCATTTAGCGGTGACTATAAGGCCGGTGCATCTTAAACTATACGCTATCCCCTTCTATTTTTCCCGCTCTATAAGATGGTGGTGTCCATTTTCCTCTATCTACGCGCGTTGTGGTCTTCAACCTCTACCATTCTTTTATTATATCCGCATAATGGATCGCAATAATTTCAGTATTACTGGATTCCTCTCATAGTCAATAATGCAAATATGTAGGTTTAATAGTGTGGAAAACTCATTAGTGACAAGCTTATCCTTGACAGTAGGGGAGGGCATGAAAGGTACCAGGAAAATTGCGGGTTAAAAGGTGTAAAATCTACACAGAATCAGTCACTATATTGACTATTGCAGGGGCCTGCTGCCCCCAATCCCTGCCTAGGAAACCAAAGAATCCTCCACATATTCATGGCAGGAGAGAGTGTTGGATAGACCTGGCAACAGCACGCCCGGATGGTGGTCATATGCTCTCTCCTGCCGTGTATACATGGAGGATTCTCTTTTTTTAGGTGGGGGTTAGGGGGCGGCAACCTCCCACAGGGGTGTCACTGGTTGTTGAGCCCCCAGCATTAGACTATATAGTGACTGATTCTGTGTATATTTATATTTTATCTTGCAATTCCCGTGGTACCTTTCATACCCTTCCCTGCTATCAGGGCCAAGAATGTAGGGGTTTAAAGGGTTTCCACACAGTAATTTCAATATATTTAGAAACTAAAGATTGAAAGGAATCCAACAATACTAAAATCATTACAATCTGTTATTTTGAACTATTGTAAAAAATATTACCCCCTCTTAACCCATTGGTGCCGGGTGTTACGTACGTACATGCCATGGCTGTTGTGGACCAAACGCCGGGGGCATCATGCCATGCCCATTCCCATGCTACTGGCTCGTCGGACGGAGGCTGTTTTCCTCCACTAGTAGCGGCTTCATTTATATGGTAAAGATTTTAGGCAATGGCACTTAAAGTGAAGGTAAACCTTCAAATTTTTAATATTTTCATAAATTTTAGAAAAATAAAAGCTTTTAGGTGCTATATGTCGCTCGCAAACTACCGATCGAGCTGAGCGCAAACAGGGGAAACTGCCAGTGCGCCCCAACAAGCCGGCGCATACGTAAACTTGACAAAATTTTTACCCGTTGCTGATGGGTTAATTTTCTCTTGATTTTCTTTAGTAGAGTTAACTTTTTTCAACTTTGCTGCTCTGCTGAATTATTAGTATGTTACTTACTAGCATTTACATTTCCTAGTGCATAAACTTGAACTCTACAAACCTTAGCAATAATACCTGCTTATAAAGAGAGATTTCAGCTGTTGCACGTTACATGCTAGCGGTCTTAAGAGGTTACGATGCAGACCTATTCTAGAAATTGATCCAACTGATATTGGCAAGTATAGTGTTACACTATTAGCCCATTGGATCCAAGTTAGTGATAGATGTTTTTTCTTGCTCAGACTCCATATCATCTCTATTGCAATAATAACAATAACAATAATTGAAATTTTGATATTTGTCATTTTTGAATATTATTATTTCTTCTTTCTTTTATAGAGTTTTAGACTTTTATGTAATCTATGATATATTTTTTATTCAATTTTTTGTAGGACCCCCTACAGCTTTGCTCACAGTATGCAAAAAAAAAAAAGAAATAAAATAAAATAAAATAAAATAAAATAAAATAAAATAGATAAAAATAATAATAATAATCCTAAGGACGGAAATAGTCTCCATCCCAGAGCTGACACTCTTCCAGCCACAGCTCATGGATGGTCATTATATCTTCCTTTACCAGCAGAAATAATGCAAGAACCCTTTCTGAAATGCCCACAGAGGCATTTCATTTCTCTCAAGAACCTTGTACTCTCATGACGTGCCATTCCCATCACCCCAGTCTTCAGCTGACTTTTTATGACA